TAATGTTTTAAGGTTTTTTTTTAAGGTTTGTGACAAAATAATGACATGCATACCTAAATACTGAAAGAGTCTTGCAGCCTGTCCCTTTCCGTATATGTATATCTGTTTACCCACAAGCAGGTACTATTCAAAATACAAGGATTTCTTTTTTATTTGTGGACATTGCTCTTAAATAGAAAAGGATATGTTCTTTTATATTTTCCTTATACTGTAGATACATTTTAACAAAGTCTGAATCAGTTAAGCTGTTCTACTTAAGAACACCTTTCCAGCATCTGAGAATAAATACCACATTTATTTGCTTACTACATGCCCCCAAATAAGACAAGCAGTTTGTTTTAGGAAGGTCAACTGAAGACAAAAACATTTTTCTCGTAATAAAACTGTTTCCCCATTTAAGACATCATTTTACCAAAAAAAAAAAAAAAAGGGTGAGTATGAGACAGGAATAGAAAAGGTACTTAAAATACAAAAAAAAATAGTTTTTAGAAGATAGTTTTCATTCTGGATTTTGAAAGTCTGGGGAGCCTGCTTACAATAACTTTAAAACAATCACAGGAATTAATAATGGAAGAGACACTTCCTCCTATTAATGCTATGAGCCGTTTATAAATGTTCTCCAGGAGTGTCAGGTTGGGGGAGTGCTTTAAATAGAGTGGCTCTGAAAGCCTCTCTAATTAAAGCATCTGGAGCATCTTATGTATCAGCATTCCTGTGATTCAGAATGGTGGTGGGGGCACTTTATCTAAAGCTGATCAAACTAGCTTTAGTTAAAGTGCCCCTGCTGCCATTTTGAAGTGTAGGGATGCTGATACCCAAGATGCGGAGGCTGGCTGGAGTGCAGTAATTAATTGAGTCTGCTCTGACACTAATTACAGTACATTGAAGCAACCTTGCTGCTAATGTATAGGCACCTCTAGAGTCCATGTCCTACTGCTCTGACTAGTCTACCTTTAGCTGTCCCAAATCTTTCCTTGGAGGATGATTTTATAACTTAACACTGTTTCCATTTCCTAACTGTCCCAGACTATTCTCTCCCATTAAATATTTATAGCATTATCAGCCTCACCTTTGCCATCACTTAACTTAGCTATATTTATTACAAAAACTGTGTGACCTTGTAGGTCTTAGATCACTAGGTAGGTATCATACTACTTTGCATGCTATGGCCACTCAATTTCAGGGGAGCAATGGTCAAAGAATTCTCCTAGTTCAAAAAAGCATAGGCTTCTACCCATTTAAGCTAAAAAGGCTTGGTTTCAGTAGTGTAGGGCCTGACACATGGTGGGTTACTTCTAATTTCATTTTCTAGCAATGGTACAAAAACACACTGGCTGTTACATTACTTACTCCTTTAATTGGAGGAAGCTAATTTCAGAACATCTGGGATCCATAGGAGTTTACATTGTAAACTTGCAGGAATATAAATTATTCACTGATGTTAACATGTAGATTGAAGAATAATTAGAAGTCACAGTTTCTACTTTTATGCAGAGCAGTAATATTTGGATTTTCACAGCAATAGCTGGGGAAGACCTTAGAAACATCCCTTTGTAATGTTGTTTTGAACACTGCAAAGCAGATCCTCTCCTGATGTAAACTGTCAGAGCCCTTTGGATATCAGTGGAAATATAGTTAACAGTGGAAGATGATCTTCCCCTCAGGATGATACAACTGTTCAAAGCTGTTGAAAGTCATACTACACATCTCAGTAATGCAAAGCCGGAATTTTTTGCAGGGAAGGGAATAGGAGGTCTATAATTATTGGAGCAATTATAAGGATTGCGTACCTGTGATTTGCCTATGCATTGAGTTGCCAGTAGGGGTGTGTGAAACAGGCCCTATTTGATTTGGATTCAGATTTGGCTTAAATCAGGGACAGTGATTTGATCTGTTGATTCGGATCACTGTCCCCGATCGATTCGGCCAAATCTGAATCTGACAATTTGATGCTTATTTGGCAAATCAACAATTTGGACATGGGCACAGCTTTAAAAGTTTTTTCTATGTACCTTGAGGTAGCAGTGTAGCTTGTGATTGCTGCGGTGCTGGGGCTGATGGAGGGTCTCACAGCAGCCCGGGGGCTCTTCAGCATGCTCAGCAATGAACCCGGAAGTGGACCACAAGTACCTTGGGTCCACTTCCAGGTCTGCTGGGGAGCAGACATGCTCCCCCGCGCCCTCCCGGCCCAGCGATCAGCTGTGGAGAGAACCTGGGTGCCCTCCCCACAGACCCAGGAGGCACCAATTGCCGAGCTGGGGGGGACCCCCAGCACGCTCCCCGGTGGACCTGGAAGTGCTTCTGGTCCACTTCCAGGTCTGCTGCCGAGTACACTGGGGAGGCCCCCCATGCTTCTGTGGGACGCTCCATCTGCCCCTGCACCACAGCGATCACGAGCCCCTGCTACCTAGAGGTATGTAGAAAAAGCATTTAAAGCTGTCTCTGTGTCTAAATCACTGAATCTGTCTGAATCTCTCCGAATTGATTTGGAGGGTTCCAGATCAATTTAGAGAGATTAAAGGGTCCTCTGATTTAATTCGGAGATTTGGCCACTGCATCAGGCTGAATCTCCGCCATATCGAATCATGGACCGAAGCTTTGCACAGCCCTAGTTGCCAGCTATATGACTAGGGTCTGAGTGGGGAAGTGACAAAGAACTGGAGTACATCAAAAAGGGTAAGGAGAAGGACCTGAGTCGCACAACAGAACGGAGCTGGCGGTCCCAGTGGGGGGAAGGAGAGCAGTGGTGGCAAAGAGAGAGGGGATGAGCAAAGCAATTGGAATTGCTGGACTTGATGCATGGGATGGAAACCGCTCCCCAATTTAACTCATGATCCACACAAGAGGGGGTGCAGTTTGAAAGTTATCTTTTTAGTTATACACTGAGTGAATGTGAGAAGGAAGCAGTAACATACAAGGCTGTCTAAAGTCAGCTTTGAGAGCAGAAGGTATTTTAAGAAGAGGAGAAAATTTACCATCCTAATGTCACACTGTCTATATGTTTGTGGAAGGATCTGGGCAATAAACTGGACAATGTATTGGAAACTACTGTGTAGGGGAAAATCCTACACTCATTGAAGGAGGGAGATGATGACTTAATAGGTGTTTTCCATTTCTTATTTCCATCTTTCTACACTTAGACATATTCCATATAATCCAATGCAAAATTCCTTTCAGTTTGATCTTTTTTTTTTTCTTTTGCTATTTGTCATGACTTGTTAAGGGGTTTATGTCACCTGAGTAACTAGCTGCAATTTTACACCTTCAGGTTCATTTTTTTTGTCTGGTTTCTGCTATGTCAACAGTCTGACGCCAAGCTGGGCTGTGTAGTGGAGTTGGGCGAGGTTTCTGATAAGAGATCAGACTCGTTGAAAGCAGCAGGTGAAGTCCAGCATAGTCTTGATCTGGCATGTAAGATAGTTAGTATGTGACATGGGGTGGACAGAACCAATGATAACAGCCAACATGAATTTCCAAAGCACCATATCAGCTGAAGCTAGGCTAACTCCATGGAGAAAAGAACAATTATGGTATCATTTGCTGCTGTCTTACTACGTTTCACTGTATTTTCCATTTTGTAAATCATTAGCACTACTTCCTTTTTCTTTGTCTGCATATACAATATGCTTACTTACATATTTACACCATCCCCATCACTCTAATACTGGACTATGTTATTGATTTTTAGCAATACTCCACCTAAAATTAATTATTGTAGTGTATTTAAAGAAGTCAGATGCTGTAAACTGGTTGCTTACAGGCTCGGGATCATCACTGCTCAGCTAAATCTGTAAGATCAGTTCAGGGCTACAACTGGCTAGTAATTTTCAGTGGCTTTGTTTCCAGAAGCATCTCAAGTTGGTGGCCAAAAAGGGTGCATCCAGGTGAGCACGCACGTGTGGTTGGTGACTCCTCAGAGCTGTCTGAGGTGTAGCAAACTGTACGTGGTGCACGTGCACCCATTTGCTAATTTGCAGCATGATGTCAAAATTTGACACTGGGAAATTTGATACTGGGAGATAAAAAGAGTGGTGTAGCACCTGCAGCAGTAGGGTGCTCCACCAGAAACAGAGCTTGGCCAGTCAGAGCCATGCTCTGGCTGCTGGCCAGACTCCAAGTGGCTGGATCACCACCACTGCTGCCCTGGGAGGCCCCCAGGACCCTAGGTAAGGCTGCTGGGGCCAGCATAGGTGCTGCCCCCAGTCTCCTCTACCCCTCCCAGGACAATTTGCAATGGACTGGAGTGTGTGTGCATGGGCACACTCTGAGACAAAAAGCAGTGGCACGAATATGTGCTGTTGCTTTTTGTACCACAGGAAATGCATGTCCCTGACCGTGTGCGCCTGTCTGGACATGCCAAAATGATGTATCCATACTCTACGGTCACTTTTAAAAATATGTAAATAATTCTGATATGTACTAAAACATACCTCTTTAATGATCCCTGCACCAAAACTGAAGCTAAAATTTAAGAGCTTTAGTTATGAAATATTAACAATATAATCTTTTCTATTTTGTTATTGGTTTTATACACCAGGGTGATAAGTTTCCTAAACAACTTGTCCAATTGATTTGTCATTATTAAAGTGATACTATTTTATTACTTAAAAATAAATGTGTTCCTGCAGTTTGTCATGTATTGTTGCTTTTTGAAAAACAATAAAAGGAAAGTAGTTATGGTATCAAAGGAAAAAAAATGTAGGTTAAATTATTGTCAAGTAATGAAAAAAGTGTTGTGGTAATTCCACACAATACTTCCCGTACTATTTGCAAATATGCTGAGAGCATGTTTATATAAAGATATAGTTTCTAAGCCCTTCTTAGGACCACAGATGCCCTAACCACGACTTCTTGAGGGAAAGAAAAAAAATAGTCGTGTAAGCATGTTTATTTTGCAAAGGCAAGGAAGTTCTGACTTGTCCCTAAGACATGACTCACTGGTTCAGGGCTATAAAAGCAAAGATATTTACACACTGAGAATCAGAGTTTCAGAACTCAAAAATCCAGCATGATGAGACCAAGCCTTCCAACTGCTCTCCTGTTCTTCTTGGGCCTGTCATATTGCTTGGCATTGCCTGTACCCTATGATGATAGCAATGAATTCACAGAGCAAGACCTCAAGTTTGCAGAGGTATGGTATATAATTTTTGCATGTTAGAGCATGCTGCATGATTGTTGCTGTGCTTTGGGAACTGGATATATGATTTTATTTTTTTCCTCTAGCGTTATTTACGGACCCACTATGCCCTCCACCGTAACCCTGCTGGCTTAATGAGGAAGAGTGCCAATTCAGTGGCAGCCAAACTTCGAGAACTGCAGTCATTTTTTGGGCTGAAGGTGACTGGTAAACTAAATGAAGAAACCTATGAACTGATGCAACAGCCAAGATGTGGGGTCCCAGATGTGGGGGAATATAATTTTTTCCCTAGAAAACTCAAATGGTCAAAAAATAATTTGACATACAGGTAAAATCATAACATTTCACATCTGTTTCCTGTATTCAATTTAGTCTACCACCTACCTGTTTAACAGTCATTATATAATAGACTGATAAGCTCAACAACAAGAAAAAGTCCAGGCTTTGTAAAAATCTTACTGTGCAGCTTTAAAATTATGGTCTTGATCTAAAGCTCATGGAAGCAAATGCAGATCTTTCCATTGGGCTTCTCTACATGGGGGGGAGTTAGCATGCTGTCAGCTAAGGTATGAACTTACAATGCACTAATTCTCTGATGTAGTGTCACCAGACACTCTTACTCTACATTCAGGTTGCCTTTGTGTGGTGTAGTGCAATACACTGAAAGCGTATTAAGCTATGGTACACTTGTGTACTTTTAGGACAAAGAATGCGCACAAAGAATTTAATATAGAGTAGCTAGGACGCTGTACATCTCGCCTGATTTTCCCTACACTAACTTTCCTATATAGACAGCCCCAGTGACTAAGGCTTTTGATCAGCTCCTGTATAAATATATGCAGTTATCACACTATAAGAAAATGGCTGCCATTAAAAAGTCATGCCAGATGCCAAAGATGAGAGAGAGAAGAGTATTTCTCCCTATACTTGAATATGAATGTAATGTAGTATCTCTGATGCCTTAGTGAAGTAGCTATTGACAAATCAAGATTTAGTAATGATAACCACTGTATCTCTTAAAAGACTTCTCTATCTTGTGTTACCTCTCTACCGTGGTGGAGAAGAGTGTATTAAGAATAGCTTCTGAGAAGTGACTCCTTGCTAGTCAAAAGTAATTTTTCTTTCCAGTTGAAAGTAATTGCAGTTGCCTGGATCCGCCAAGAATTTAACGGAAGATATTTTATTTGCTTGTTATAGAATTATGAATTACACACAAGATCTAACCCATGCTGAAGTGGACAGAGCTTTCAAAAAGGCATTCAAAGTGTGGTCTGATGTGACACCACTTAACTTTACTAGAATTCGTAGTGGCACTGCTGATATCATGATCTCCTTTGGAACTAAAGGTATATGCGAAAAATTACTTTTTAACATTATAATTATCACTTCATCTTTCTAATAACAAGAAATTTAAATGCTGTTGCTATTCTAAATGTCACTTTGTAGAACATGGTGACTTTTATCCCTTTGATGGACCTTCTGGACTACTGGCTCATGCTTTTCCTCCTGGACCAAACTATGGAGGAGATGCCCATTTTGATGATGATGAAACCTGGTCAACTGACTCCAGAGGTAACATGTTCTAAAGGTCATCATAAATACTTGTCAAGAATAATATTCATTATTAATTTCGTCCCCTTTTGATACAAGTCATCCATAACCTCATCCTGATATGTTTGCTATTTACAATATTTACAAAATCCTTGGATGGATAATTATCCTCATCTGGTTTGTAACCAATTTACTTTGGGTATTCTCTGTTAAATAATCATTCTAAGAGTTGTGTGATTAGTTATTTTGCCACCTGTTAGAACCAAGTAAAATGCAACTATACGGCATGAGATTTTAAACAAAAAATGACAGTGATTAACTTTTTGGAGGGGTGTTGTTTTAGCAGGGTAGCTAAGACATCTTACTGTAGCTCTGGATGTATGAATTCAAGCCCTACTCTGAATTTATGGCAAAGACTACCTTCAGATTATCTAGTTGTAAAAAAAGAGTACCTGGTTATTCAGGCTGACCACATCACGTCCTTGTAGGCTCTTAGCTAAGAAGCTGGTGTATCTTTATCATACTAGCACTATGGGCTTTTAGGTTTGGGTTCATATTGTGAAATTTTTGGATTCTCAAACTTTTTCAGGACTGTCAGGGTGCCTATACACAAGCAGTGAGGCTTCTCCAACATGCTGTAATTACAGCGTGTTGAATCAGACTTGATTAATCTCCATTCCTAAAGCACTGTATAAACACCCTCACTGGTCTGCATGGTCAGGAATAATGGATAACATAAACCACAAAACCCAGAGAAACAAGGCTGTTTTGTTTCTTAGTGTTCAGGTATCTCACTATTTTTTATTGAAGTTTGAGGATGCTGTTTTCTGATCTGAGTCACAGTGGGTGTGTCTACATGATATCTTTTCCTGGGCAGTAGACTAATTTACTGCACAGTAAATAAGTCTACTGTGCAGTTAGCTATTAACTGCACAGTGCATACTGCATAGTAGTGCATATGTAGACACTAACCAGGAGCAAATTTGCTCCCAGTCAGACCCACCACTAGGGGACCACAGAGGTTGGGTAACTCCCCTGGTCCTGGTACTGCTCAAATCCCAGGCCCCCCTGGCCTCAGGTCCTGGCTCTCTGCAGGAGCTGGGAGCCAAGCAGCACTGGGACTGGGGAGCACACTGCTTCCCCATGCAGCCAGGGGCTGGCCAGGAGCTGTCCTGCTTCTGGGACTCCCAGCCAGCTCCAAGCTGGGTGTGGATTTCCCTGAGCAGCCTGGATCTAGCTGGGAGGTGCCCCAGGGTTGGGCCAACTCCTGGACAGTTCTGGGCTGCTCAGGAAAACTCCCACCCAACCTGGAGCTGGCTGGGTGTTGCCCCAGAAGTGGAACAGCTCTGAGCCAGCCCCTGGCTTTGCAGGGAAGCCCCACTGGGCAAAGGACTTGTCCTTATGTGTCCCCAGTGGGTGCACCATAATATGCTATTAGCGCAGAGCAATAAACTCCAATATGCACCGGAGTTTACTTCTCCCAGGCTCTGCATACGCAGGGTGAGGACTGTACTCTTTTATGTCAGAGTTAATTAGTTTACTGAGGCCTAATACCACTGTACAAGTAGACTGTGATGCTTTACTGCACAGCAAATTAGTCTACTCTGCAGTGAAGTACACATGTAGATGCACCCAGTGTAAGCCTCTCAGTGACATTAGTGAGAGTTGTATATACTCAGCTCTTCTGAAGTTCAGACCACTTATATTTAGATTGAAAATATCTGGCATTGTCTACATGAGGAACCATTTATAAAAGATGCAACTAGTACCATTGTTCAAGCTGCTGATAGTATTATCTACACCAGCTGATAACAGATTGAATTGATGTAATACAGAAAACAGGGTCAGGATGAGTGAGCTATGTGTACTAACACTGGAATCCTGACAAAATTTACCTTGATTTCAGTGGGGCCAGATGTCACACTATAGCTTTCAACATCCTTAAAATAGGATGCAACTGGGAACATTTTCAAATAAAATTTAGTGTTAAATAAAAACTTGTGGAGCTGAAACCATCGGACTCATATTCAGTCTCCCATTATCTTGAATAAAGAAGTTGGCTTGGACTTTGCATTTCAGTTTCCCTATCTCTAAGATGGAGATAATGATCCATTCCATTTCACAATGCCTTGTAAGAGCTCATTAATGACTGTGCCTTCACTTTGAGAAGGCAGAGGTCTATATAATTATTGTAGAGCATTATTGCAAAAGAGAGATAATGGAAGAAAATCAAACTATAAAACAATAAGATACATGTGTATATTAGTTTAACCAGTACATGTAATTTTGCTTTTCTTTCTCACAGGGTACAACTTGTTCCTTGTTGCTGCCCATGAATTTGGTCACTCTTTGGGGCTTGAACACTCCAGAGATCCTGGAGCTCTGATGTTCCCTGTTTACACATACACTGGAAAAACTGGCTTTGTGCTTCCTGATGATGATGTGCAAGGGATCCAGGCTCTCTATGGTATATCTTCCCTTTGCCATTTAGTCCCTATATCCTAGTATATATACATTACACTGCATGGCTCTGTTCCTACTGCTGATAGGACGGCTCTGGTTGAGTAAGATAATTCCTATGTCTTTGGGTCATCAGTGTCACAAGAGACCCAGATTTAGCCATGAGGTGAAAAATACAACAAAAATTATTCTAGAGCACAAGTAGTTACTGCCTGCTGGCTGCCTTTTGTAATGGAAATTCTGCCTTCTGTGGGAAGGATGGGTAGAGACTAAGAAGGGGAAACAGGACTGTCTTTACAGGATTTTGGAAGGAAGCAACCTTCTGTCCACTAACACTTGGTATCCATATATGATACCTATTTAGCTTTATTCACAACTATTTTTGCAATGTAGCTAACCCTCAAAGGCCATGGATGTGACTAGTTAAAGGGAAAAAGAAAAGAAAATTAATATCACTAGTCCAGACAATCTCTCCATAATGGCTGTTTTCATCGTGGTACTGAGAAACTTTTTAGTGTCCCATACAGTATGTGGTTATCTTCCACACACTGGGAAAAAAGGCTGTTAAGCCTATGTCATAATTTGTGGTTCCAGGTCCAGGAGACAAAGATCCCAACCCCAAACATCCCAAAACTCCAGAGAAATGCGATGCAAACTTAACACTTGATGCAATAACAGAACTTCGCGGAGAGCTGCTAATCTTCAAGGACAGGTGAGAAAGCAAGTGATAGATTACAGGGCTTTGCATAGAAACATATGCTGTGTGCTCTTTCAATGTATAGGGGCAAGCCCTTTGATTAGTATAGATTAATAGAACACCTGGCTAGATAACCCTTATATAAAATATAAGTAAAAGAAAAAGCACAACATATTTCTTTTATAATTTGAAATACTTTATCTTTGGCCATGAAATGATAATTGATTACATTTTCCATTGGCTAAATTTCTACATTAAATGTTAAGCTGTGTAAGGCTTTCTTAAATACAAGTAAGTCAGATTGCAAAGTCAACAAAAAAGTCTGCAAGGGGCTCACTGAATATCATATTTAAACAGCCTCTATAACATACTGTCCTGTCACTCTGTGACAATCAAGAGTTACTGCCTGAGAAACCCATAGAATTATATATGTGTAAAACTGTTATGAATGACAACTTAGATCAGATATACTTGCCATTTGACATCACTGCACTAGATTTACTCCAAAATTAAGAAATTAATTAACTTTCTGAACAAAAACTGCCTATCCCACAGCTCTTTACCTGATGCATTACCACATGTTTTATACTTTCCTTTTTTTTGAGACAGAAAGTTGGGCTAAAAGGAACCAAAGTACAAGTTTTTCCTCTTCTAGGAAAATCATCACATTATGACTGAGAAAAATGATCTATACTATGGTGGCTAGAAGTGAAGGATGTGGTCCAGCCTATGTCCCTTGTGGCAGACACTAAGAAAGAAAAGTTAATATTGATAGAGCCCTTGGAAGATAATGCCAGCCCATTCCATGAAGAAAATCATCAAAAGTATATTTTCTGTTTCTGATTTAGGTTCTTCTGGCGTCTACATCCCCAGATGGTTGAACCAGAACTGGTGTTAACCAAATCATTTTGGCCGGAACTTCCCAACAAGTTTGATGCTGCTTATGAAAACCCCATCAAAGATCGTGTGTTCATGTTTAAGGGTAAGCGTTTTGTAACTGGCAGAGAAGTGAAAGTATCTTAATTACTCCCACTGTTTATAGTTCATAGATTTCATAGACACAAGGGCTGGAAGGGACTTTGCGAGATCAACCGGTCTAGCCCCCTGCCCAAAGGGCAGGAAGTCAGCCAGGGTCAGATTATATCTCAACCATCCTTACTCAGACAGAATTCCCCTTGGTTTCAGCTCATGAAAACCTACAGGATTTTACATGTATAGAGAGTATAGACTTTAGCCCGGACAATGATATCTGCACCTGGCATAATAGATTCTGTGGCAATGTGCTATCTAACATCAGCTGAAAACCTGTCCCTGAGAACCTAAGTAGTCATACAGAAAACAAAAATAATGTCATCATGTCTCATAGGCTCTACTCCTTTAATATCTTGCTGTTGAAGGTATGCTGTTGTAAAATACTAATATGTGTTTGGTGTAACTGTTTACAGGCAGGAAAGTCTGGGCAATGAATGGCTATGACATAGTTGCAGATTACCCTAAAAAAATTTATGAATTGGGATTCCCAAAAGAGATGAAAACAATAGATGCAGCTGTCCACATTAAAGACACTGGCAAGACTCTCTTTTTTACTGGAGACAAGTACTGGAGGTAAGTTTGTGATATACTGATTCTAATTTTCAATTCAATCTGTCATAATCTTATGTAAAAGAGCCCACAGATTTTTGATGTACTATGTCTAAGTGACTTTTCGTCATCCATTCTTCAAAGTGTCATAGGAATCGGCTGCTTAGAATATACTTCATGGATCTTATAAAGATGTTTATAAAGTTTCATAAACATACTAAGTGGTGACTATAACCACACCCCTGAGGAAAGAGCTCTAAGTTAAGTGCATGACACCAGGAGCTGTTGTAACAGTCACATGTTACAGTGACCGTAGGACCTTAAGATCCTTTCAAAGGTGCTATGGGGTGCCACACAATGGCAGCCCTGTTAGGTGTGCAAACATGATTCACAGGATAAACCTAGATATTTCAAATAGAAATCCATAGTTGTGGTCTTTCTAAGTTCTTTGCAATAGAAAAAACGGCTCCATTATTTTTTCTGTAGGCACAGAAGACTGACAAGTAAGAGCTGGCATTTTCCATGGAGTGCCTTCTGTCTATCTAGGGAAGCCTCAAGTCTAGAAAAGTTGAGAGCCACTGCTCTAGATGTAACTCCTTCCCTGCTCCCTCCCTCCCTAGTGTATGTGGCACAAAGTAGTAAAGCTGTTGTTGCTCTGTGCCAGCAGCAAATTCAACCCAACCTGTGCTGCCTAGTAAATTTGACTTAGAGACAATGGTCTACCTGCTGCTTGCCCAGGACAGACATACAATTCCTGCTGTTAAACTATGTACCCAGACTATGAGCTACAAGCTATCCCATATAGTCTGTAGTTTATTACCTGGTTTGAAATAATTACCTCCCTTGACCTTGTTAGCAGTTGAGGTTGTGTTTCTGGCACATCTTGGAAATGAGATTCACTGTTGCTTTTAATACAGATATCTGAATGACTTCTAGCTACTCAAAAGGTGATAGGACTGTGCCGGCTTGCAAAACACCAAGTTTCCTGAATTTACATTTTCTTTCATCTTTAATATAGCTATGATGAAGAGAACCAGGTTATGGATGAAGGATACCCCAGGCTGATAGAGGAAGAATTTGCAGGAATTGGCACCAGAGTGGATGCAGTTTACCAGAGAAATGGTAGCTATTATCATTTTCTTAGTTTTCATTATTACTGTAAGAGTGAGGTGAAATTCAGGATTTTTGTTCAGTGAAAATTTGCAACAATTTGAATTTGTCCTTTGACCAAAACTGGATCAAAAATAAAAAATTCACGTTAAATTACATTTCCAAAAATAACCTTATGGAGACAATAGATTTCAAAATATTTTATTTGGGCCTTACCAAAGTATTTTATTATTTTGACAAGATTAAAATAATTCATTTTGAATAATAACATCACATAGTATTAACTCAATACAGTTGAAACAATGCACTTCAATCTTATAGTAACAAAATGTTTTAGTAATTTATTGAAATTGTAGACTAAATTCATGTCTTCCTTTAAGCAGACAAGACTCTTGGGGTAGAGGCCTCATTTTTTATTAGACCAACTAAATAGTTGCAATTTTTTTTCTTTGCAAGTTTTTGGGCCCAAATACCCTTCTTTAGGCGAAGGAGAATTCAAAGATTGTAAAATTTCTCCCAGGTAGAAAAGAAAAGCATTCCAGTTTTGGGGAATCCACATTTCCTGATGAAAGAGTGTTCCTTTGATATATATTCACCCAGCTCTAATTACCACATATTATTTCCTGGTGTGTGAAATAAGCACAAGTGGGCTTTTTTCCTTTTCTAAAAGAGCACTTCATATTGTACAGTACTTTAAACATTCAAAACAATGAGGAAGCTTGTCAGGATTTATCTTATCCGGTTTACAGAGAAGAAAGGAACATGAACTGCTTTCTCTAGGGCCATGGAGTAGGCAATTGGCAGACTCAAAAACAGGAATCAGGACCTTATGACTCTCACACAATATTTTCAAGTCTTGAGTATAATAACTGAATAATAATATGAATGAAATCCTATAAGCCCCTGACTGCAATTCATTTCAACAATATCTTTTTCTCCGACAGGCTATCTGTACTTTTTCAGTGGACCGCTGCAGTTTGAATACAGCATCTGGAGCAAAAGAATTGTCCGGATCCTGCACACTAACTCCATTTTCTGGTGCTAATCACACTTTATTTAGTGACCGTGTTGTAGGCTGTGGAACAGCTTGTAGAACATGGAAATAATACTGTGGGCATAGGGTTTTATAAGAGGAAAGCATGGTTCTGTGAACAAGCTCTGGTTATGTGCCATCAAATATATAATGTATATATGGAAATTTATAACTTTATATCAGTCTGGAACTGAGTTAATTTAATAGGAAGAGAGAAACGAAAATAGCCATCATTTCAAGGGGCATTAGAACATTTAATGTCAGTGTAGAAATAGATTTGGGGTCCCTTGGTAAGATGCTAAATGAATCCTCTGTGATCACAAGCACCACAGCTCTGAATAATATAAGGGTCCTTAGTATCTTAACAGAGGCTCTCAGCGCCTCTCTCAAAGAGCAACCTACCAGCCTCAGGAGTCCCTATTTAAATAACTAGGAACTTATTCTGCAGTCCACACCTTGTGTACCTTCCAGTATACATTTCTTATGTGTAAAGAATTGGTCAGGGCTGCAGGACTGAATCCTAATGGAGAGCTACTGGAGTTATAGACTGTAAATATATATTCCTACTTGAATGTCCCCTTGGGAGTGGATGGCCATGTCATCTTCACAGAAAGCAGAAGAGGGAGAAATGGCAAAGGAGGTGCGAGAAATAAAAGGTTTTTCGAAAAACCAGCAGTCTGAATGATACTGTAGACACCAAGAACAGAGGACAAACCTAAGCACTATGAGACACTTAGGAAAGGTCACTGCACTCTTGTATTAATATAGCATCATGAAGAACACCCTGGGATTTATCTTTCACAGGTGTCTCTTCAGGTAGATCTATGGATTCTCACTGAAATTGCAGCTATTTAAAACAACTAAGAATTCAACCCTCCATTCCAAAATATGTTAAAGTTACATGACTTTTTGACTACTGAGTCAATGTTTCCACCCATTTTGTATTTATTTTAGTTATTTCAGTGCCATATATGTTAACTCTTTTTTTGCAATCAACATAAATGATACAAGACTGTGATTATTTCTCAACTTCAAATGTATTAAATAAATCGAATGAATAAAAGTAAATTGTGAATCTTCTTCAATAAAAATACCTAGGACTTCATGCCTAAAAAGACACAAGAGAACTACAGGGTATTAACAACAACAAATTAGGAAGCATGAGATTGATTTTTAATAATTATGTTATTTTTATCACATTTTTAAAGGAAAAATCATGTTTTCATTCATTTTTTCATTCATTCACATTTTATTAAAATATTTTGCTTTGTTGAACAAAAAGCACTCAGACCCCAAAACAGAAGAACGGGCATCATGGGTAAATCTATTACCCATGGAGCAGAATATCAGAAAGGATTATTAAATTACCCAGACATTATGTACTTTCTTTTTTTTTTTTGCTTGAATCATAAATAATTGACAATTCAGTAGCATAAGTAGGGGATGAGGTGATTGGGGTACCAACTCTGGGCATCTACTTGGGCAGGGGGCACAAAAATAGAAACTACTGGGTTAGCGCTGGTGCCAGTGGCAGTGACCCAGCTACTGCTGCTGTGCTGTGCACCACTGCCATCCAGGGTACAGAACTGCCCAGCTATGCCTCTAAGGCAATTAATTTCAAGGAACCAAAATTAAGAATCTCCCTTCTCGAAAGCACTCCCTTGAATAAAGCTAGTACTGTAACAATTTTTCCCAACTCTACCAAGTGAAACGTGGGAATTCTTCATTTCTCGGGGTTTTCAAGTCAATATTACATGACTCTCTGGAAGAAATACTTCAGTCAAACTAAGTTATTCAAATTAATATAGAGGTAACTAAGTGAAAAGCTGCAGCCCATCTTATATAAAATATCAGACTTGATGCTTGATGATCTAAAGATCTCTTCTGGCCTTAATATCTGTGGATCTTTGAAGATTAGCTGCTTTTTCCAAACACACTTTTAGCAGCGTTGTTTAAGTTAAATATGAGAAACAATGCTGGGAGAAAATACAAAGTAGAACATTAAGGCTAAGTACAGATATTCAAAAAGGCCGAGGGGGAATTGATTCAATGTATTCAGGTTTCACTAAGCTGTGTAGGTTGGATTGGGAGAGAACAGAACGCATGCTTCTCCTTTGGTAGGGAGCGGGGGGAAGCAGATGTCTGCATTGGCCAGGGCCAGCAGCTGGGGGGTGATCCTGCACACCTCCCAGTGTGCCAGACATTGCTGGCCAAGCCTAGCTGAGCTGGGGCCATCCTTGACTGGCTGTGGGGCACACCCCCACAAACCCTTACTGTCACCCGGATGCCATCTCCATTGAGCCCGAGGCTTCCAGAATGGGGCCCGGCACACCAGGGAGCCGGGCCGGCAGCGGCATAGGAGAAACCAGAGTTGGGGGGTGGAGGCAGGGAGGGAACTGAGGCTTCAGCTCTGTCAGACCACAGCCCCCTTTGTCCAGCTTCAGCTCCTCGCTGGAGCTGGCAGGGGGGTGCAAGGGGAGCCAAGATGGATGCTTTCTTCATGGTCCACATAGCCTTGGCTCAGCCAGTGGGCAGCCTGGAGTTGGCAGGGGGCCTGGGGGAAGCCAAGACTGATGTTTCCTTCAGGGTCCATGCATTCCCAGCTGGGTCAGCGGGCAGCCTGGAGCTGGCAGGGACGGCCAACAGAGACCCTGAGGAAAGCATCTGTGTTGGCTCCTTACCACCCCCCTCCTCCCCTGCACCAGGCTGCACGCTGCCCGGAGCTGGGAGCCATGCAGACAGCTCTGTGCCGGCCCAGGTGTGGGGCCAGCTAGGTGCTGGGCTGGAGCAGCACAGGTGAGGTGTTGCAGTGGGCTGCCCTGCAAAGGAGGGTTTGCAGGGAGGACTGTAAGGCAACTTGACTTGGGAGGGGATCTGAAGTTCAATAGACCAGTTTAATCTAAACCAGGTAAGTTGGATACTATATCCATCCAGATATATTAGCACTGAGATAAAAGGCACAGGCTGTAAAAGGAAAATGGTTGCTATTCAGATAAATGGCTGGTTATTTGGGTACATAATGAACTAGAAAAGATAGAGTTTGGGATGATACCAAAAATATCCATTTACAGGGTAAAAAACAAGGTCATGTCTTTGGTCTCATCAAGTGGGTGCGCTCTGTGGCGGGGCTCAAAGCAGGAGAGGAAGAGCCCTGGTTGAACACCGGTAGTAAGTTGGTTGTTATATGTACTTAGTTCTCTGGTCATTTTAATTGCAGTTGTTATGTTGTCCAGGAAAGGAAGATGTTAGTGACTGTGTCTTTAGAAGGTTTTTGTAAAAGTTATTTTATAAAGAGTCTCTTCTTCCTTAATGCTGAGCCATTCGAACAATCTGTCATGTTTCCTGGTCCTCAGTGAGTTCTGCACAATATAATCAGGTGAGGTTTTTGGCTGTAGCCGTGTTGGTCTAAGGACATAAGCAGGCAATGTTCTTTGAGTAGATGGGCTATCTTTTATTAGACTAACTGAGTAGTTGGAAAAAAGTTCTTATCAAACTTTCGGGTGCAGTCACCCTTCTTCAGGCATAGGAAGTCTCTGCTGTTCAGAGACTCCAAGGAATGAGAGAAGCTAAAGGTGTGGTAGGATGTCAGCGAGAATGTAATTAAGTGGAAATTAGGAAAACAAAAGGTAAAGCAGGGAGGGGGGAGGATGGCCGCGGGGGGGGGGGCCCAAAGGGGGGAAGGGGAGAC